TGGCTAGACAGAGAACAAGCAATGTTTATATCAAACCATATTTATTTACAAGCTATCTAACAATGACAATCTGTTAGAAATTTTTAGGAAACTCTTTTATATACAATGCTGCTTACAATTTACAATAACGAAACGTATCGACCAAATCTATTTTTTACAAACTTGAAAACTTAAATGTCGAGTGGAGTGGTGCTGACTCCATCAGCCAAAACTTTTCGTTTCGGGTAAAAGTACGAGAATGCGTCTCTCACTTGAGTGTAGGTATACATAGTATTATTTACTGCTCTGAACCCCCGATTGACCCCGGCACTATTTTGTTTGGTTAATAGTACATTTAAATATTTATCTTTGTTAATCTCGTTACATTTCTTGTTAACTCCTATGCAAGAAAACGTATCTTTCGCCCCAAAACAGTAATAGGTTTTTGAACACAACCCCACGATTCCTTACCTTCCCACTCGACTTTAAATAACCCTGGCTTTCTCTTATCATAGGCCTTATGCTCCGCGGTGTCGGTACGGGGAAACCAGTTGTTTACATCGCGTTCGAATTCAGCTCTTAATTCGGGTTTGACTAAATTCTCTACACTGTTCCCAGCAATAGCGATATACTCACTATCCGTGTCCATTTCACACATTTGGAAATCTGCACGATCTAAATACTTGTCTAAGAAATCATAATAAAACTGTAACATTCGTGACTTGGCATATTGGTACACGAAAAAACCGACTTGAATAGGTAAATTTAACTTAATGGTCTTCTTACAAGACTCTACTATCACTCTCGTCGGTGATATTATCTAGCTTGCGAAACAGGGGAGTGTTCACCTTCCTGCTAGCTTCAGCGTCACTGCAATATAAATAAATATAATAAATAATAAAATATTTATATAGGGCTTTTACTTTTCAGTGCTAAGCGCTTTACAATGGTTTGTTGTTGGTTCTCCCCCTTGCTCCGAGAGATTTTTCTCGGGTACTCCGGTTTTCCCCCCTCCTCAAAAACCAACATTTCCAAATTCCAATTCGACCAGGAATCAGGTAGACGAAGAACCACTATGTGGATGTGCTACCTGCAAATCGTTATTTATTTATTTATGATTCAAAAAGGTCTGAATAAAAAATAAAAATCCTAAAATCATTACATATATATATACATAGTCACAAAAATACAAAATAAAAAACCTAAGATAGTTCGCAAACTCGTTTAAAAGAAAGGTCTTCAATTTAGATTTAAACTTATTTAAGTCATCGATCGATCTAATGTCAATAGGCAAATCGTTCCAGAGTATAGGGGCAATGACTGAAAAAGCCCTGAAACCGTATGTCTTTAAGTTATAGGGTTTAATGACAAGATGCCACTTGTCTGAAGATGATCGAAGGTACCTCGCAGGTTAATAAACATGGATTAGGTCAACCAAATAATCAGGAGCTAAGTTGTTGAGTATCTTAAAACAAATAAGATTAATCTTAAAGATTATTCTTTGCTCCACTGGTAGCCAGTGCAACTCCTTTAGAGTATCACTTATGTGATCAAACTTACTTAAGCAGGCAATCATACGCGCTGCAGCGTTTTGGACACTTTACAGTTTGTTAATTTCATACTTGGGAAGACCATGTAAAAGCGAGTTGCAGAAATCCAGCTTTGAATTTATGAATGCATGCACAAGAACTTCAGCCGTAGTGACATTGATATACTTACGAATCTTAGCTATATTTCTAAGGTGGTAGAATGCCACTTAAACTATGTTGTTAATGTGAAAAGACATCGTTACGGTGTTATCGAAAATGACGCCGATATTACGCGCCTTATTTGTAGGCTTGATGATATCAGTTCCTATTTTAATAGAAGGTAGCCGTGGGGGCAGTCTGAACCTAAAAGAGAGAGTGAGAAGTTCCGTTTTGTCAGTATTTAGTTTCAATTTGTTAGTAGTCATCCAGTTGGTGATATCGACAAGACAGCTTTCAATCCGGGAAGTTGTAGTGGTAAGATCATCCTTATAATTGCAACTGAAGTGGTGTACAGTTGAGTATCATCAGCATATAGATGGAAGTCCATGTCATGCCATCGTATTAGGTCACCTAGTGGGGCCGTGTACAACAGATACAGCAGCGGACCCAACACGGACCCCTGGTAAATCCATCACTCTGAACTGACTGGGAACGATCCGAAAGATAAGACTGAAGCCACGAAAGCGCTTTTCCTTTTATGCCAAACCTGGATCGCAGTCTGTGCAACAATATCTTATGATCGAGAGTGTCGAAGGCTGCTGATAGGTCTAGCAGCAAGAGAACGACGCTTGTTTATCATCGATTGATTGCAGTATATCATTTTGAACACGTAGAAGCGCTGTCTCACAACTGTGGTGTTTCTTATAAGCAGACTGGAGACTTTCATTCAGATCGTTATCACACAAATAATTCGTCAGACGCATGGCTGCAACTTTTTCAATAACTTTAGACAAAAACTTGAGGTTAGATACAGGTCGAAAGTTAGAAAGATTTCAAAGTCTAGGGACGGTTTCTTCAGCAGAGGAGACAACACTGCATTCTTTATAGAACTTGGCATTGAAGCTGAATTGAATGAAAGGTTTACGACGCTTTTGATAATAGGTAGTAAATCATCGATTCAATAGCGTAAAAGAGAAGCAGGTACAGGATCAAGAGAACACGATTTGGCGGCATTTTTTTTCACGAGACCAGAAAGTTCATCCTCTGAGGTGGGAGAAAATTCGCTTAATTCACATGTAATTATGGCGTCATCAATCAATGGAAAAGCAGGAGCATCAGTAATAGATAACGTATCCAGTTGATGCCTGATTGTCACAATTTTGTCACAGAAAAAGTCAGCGAACTTATCACATAATTCCTTTGGAGAGCCACAGGATGGATAGTGGTTTTGAGGCGTGCGATGCAGCATAGGGTCTATCGTGTTAAATAAAACTTTGGAATCCGATTTATTTTGATTAATAAGCGAAGCGTTATAACTCATCTTTGAAGATTTCAAGAACTTACGAACTCTACTACACTGATCGGCATATTGCAGCTTATCTGCTTCAGTTCCAGACTTACGCCAACGCCTTCCAATTTACGTTTGGGTTTTTCTGCGGCAATTTCCTCACTATACCACGGCGCAGATGGACGAGAGGTTACAAAGCGTGTTTTCAATGGAGCATGCACATCAACAACCTTGCTCAATTCACTATCATATTGATCACATAAATCATTCACATTGCATGCAGGTGAGGAGAAAAGTGTGGAAGCCATAACATCGTTGCGAAATTCAATTGGATCAACACCACGAATTTTCCGATATTGTTTTTTTAACTTTTGGTGGACGTGGCCTGGTAAGTGATAGTTTTGAATGGATAGCTGAGTGGTCAGACAAATGAGGATTCAAGGTTGACCAACTCTCAATAATGTCGTCACACGCTCGAGTGATCATCAAATCAAGTGTGTGATTATCCTTATGAGTAGAACCAGGAACATGTTGAATTAAATTATGAAGTCAAGTAAATCCAAAAACCTGGAGGCCAGACTATCGGTGCGATCATCAACATGGAAACTGAAATCTCCCGTCAATAAAAGATGACCACTGGCTACCGCTAGACGCTTAAGCAAAAAAAGGAAATTCGTTGGAAAACATAGTCGCAGTGAGTCCATTCTCGGTAGACGGTGGGGCCGATAAAGTACACCAATTCTAAGAACAGTAGCGGGTGTTTTTAGCAAGACTTCCATGTATTCAAAAGATAAGAAGCTGGTTACATCTTGTTTCTCGATCTTGCAGCATTTATTGTACAGTAGACCAACACCACCACCACAATTATTCATTCGAGGAATATGCATAAACGCAAACCCCAGAGGACAAAGTTGATTTAAAATGTTCGCCGTCTATTGATTATTCAAGTCTAGCCAAGTTTCTGTTATCGCCATAGTCTTTAAAAAACATAGCCTTCTTCCTGATTGAACGATAAAGACGAATCAATAAAGTGAAGCGAAACAAATCGGAATGTACCGCTTGAATAGCACCGGCAGGCTGAATGCTTGTAAGATTATTAAAATTAATGCCACCACTCCTTGGACGAGGTTTATTATGTCCAGCCATGCTGTAGATAGATGAAATTCCACAGGGTGCAGATAAACAGCCATGGTTTCTCGTAGTAGCTTGGCCACAATTTTCACATTTATCAGGACCAGGGTTTAAACATACATCTCCACTGATAAATAAAGGAATTAAATGGAAGCCTGAGACGGAACAAGAGTGGTAGTTGATTCTCGAAGAGAAGTAACCTTTCCCACGTCCAATACGGATTATTATACGATTGTGGTTCCACGGACAAGAAGCAAAGTTACTTGCTTTATTCTCAGCGATATCGTTACCAAATGTACAGCTGTTGACCAAAGAAGCTTCATGGTAACCATGATCCATTGGTAACCTGAGCCATGATGTTATGCTCTTCTGCGTAGCTTCTCATGAAGTCTCCAATATCGGCGCGGCTGATTTCTGTGTTCTGGAAGATGTGTCTGCGTGTTGAAACCGTCTACAGGCAGTTTACGACCACCGATGCGCTTTTCTGTGCTGTTTAACTGATGTCGGATGTGAATTCCCTCTTTGTGCGCTACCCACTCCAACCATTCAATAGCCATCTTGATAGAGCTTTTAGGTTTAAACTCATTCTCTGCAAGGCGTCTAGCCAACGATCTTTTCACACGGCTAACGGTAGACAATAATACTTGGCCCGCCGGTGTTGTTATCTTTGATTAGATGACACAAGTCACTGTTAGCTTGATCGAGGAGACTAAAGTAGGTTTGAGGTGAGAGGTATGAGAAGAGGTACTTGAGGGTGAGACCAGGGACTGAAATCCCGTCTTTGAACATATCGATCTTCCTTTCCGCTAGAATTGACTCATTTTATCAAACGCTTCTATAAACGGCACCACATCCAGGTTGTTGTACCACACGAGAAAATCTTCAAATGTCTGCTTGTTATTTTTTTCCCACGCTCACTGGTAATACTCATATTCTTGTGCTGTTATGCTGGTGTTTTTGAGAGATGAATAGAAAGAAGCATGAGGGGATAGTGATGTCTCGTTCAGCTTATCTAACCCATCGACCCACTCGTACTGGAAGAAACCTTTGGTCTGCTCGCATTCATACGCTCTTAGAAACTGGTCATAGCTGAATCCCGGCGCAACATAGTTCGAAATGTCCAGGAGCTTGAGGTATTCGGTCTTGATACACATATGGTTGTTGTTTCTTTTGATAGTGAACTTGATGGGGTGATTTTCTATCAGGTACGGGGACAGAAATTTTTTCACAGCGTTGAGATCGTACTTGCAATAATTAAAGCCTAGCACGGGTAAGTTCATTAAGATAAACGTTCAGTTTTTCTTCTAGTTCGTTCAACACTTTGTTGTCGCTGGTCTGTTCTTGACCGAACAACACATCTTCATACTGGGATGCCTGTTGTCGCTGTTGTCTTCTCTCTTGTCTCCTCTCACTGTCTAGCTCTACGTTCAGACTTCTGTAAAAAGATATATCTTCCTGTTCTTCTGTCTCATCATCGAGAAATGCGCGATCTTCTTCGTTCTTTGGTTCAATTTCTTCTTCGTCTTCATCATCGCTCGTCATTAAGTCAATATTTCTTTCGTTGTCGCTTAATTCTTCTTCGCTATTTTCATTTTCCTCACTTTCAGCTTGCTGACTGTCCTCTTGGATGCCTACCGGAATTTGCGCTAATTGATCGTCTCTCGCTTCTGGGGCTCTTACGGTCTTGAGCGCTTCAAATACGTCTGCGTACTGTTCACGAAGCAGAGAGGAACTTTTCAGGCTTATCTTGGTGAGGTACTGGATAAATTCTGTAATGAACTCGTTTGGGTCGCCGTTAGACACGAAACATTTCGGTTCTTGGTAACCAGACACGTTACTACAGACCTTCACACTCAAAGGCACATGAGATGACTGCCAATTCAACTTGTCTGTGTTCTTTAATTCTTGAGCTTTCTCTTTATCAAAGTAACATTCAAAATCGAAAGTTGCATGGTAGGGAAAATAGCGTGCTTCTTCAGGGACGATGATGCCTTCGTTTTCCAGTTGCTCAAAGACAGTCGTCGGAACATAGTAAGCTCCGCCTGGGTACGTCAGCTGGACTTTGCCGTCACAGGTCTTTTCCTGTCTATTCAATCTGGACGATTTCTTCCAGTTTTTACCACAACGAGAACTGCAGAAGGATTTGGAGTACCGGGCGAGATCTTTAATATACGAGAAATGGTTTTCGTAGGGGTTCAAGTAGAGTGTGGTGGAGTAGTGGCGATGTGAGCGGCGGAGGAGTGCAGGCAATCTCGGGAGTATTTTCTTCATCGTCTTCGTCTTCACTGTGGCTCTGAGTAGGCGCGAGACTGTATACTTCATACGATTTTTCTAGGTTGTCTAGTTCGAACAACTTGACCCCATGGAACTTCTTTTTGTATAGGCCAGCGTCTCGATACTGTTGGTAATAGTGCTTGGTATCTCTTTCTAGGTTCTTAGTATGGCAACAGTTGTGGAGGGCCAGACAGCGGGAAAAAAACACAGATTATCTTCATAAGGCCTGCCTCTTCTGATATCGCGATCGAGTGGGGTGATTCCCATGTTGTCCACGATATAACCTGGTGGATATTTGCCACGGCCGATCGGGTGGTCTCGAATCTTCCAAACAAACCACGTCACATTCGTCACCAGATCCACCACCCATTTTGAATTTGGTCTCTGCAGTCCAATCCACTCCAAGTAATGGATCTCCGCTATCTGCTGATATAAGCGCTCAAAATCGTCTGGACTTGAAATCAGGAACAGCTATTCTAGCACCAAATTGTTGTTCGCAGAAGGGTGGTGGTACTGGATGGCTGCAGTTTCTTTGTTACGGAGAATAAAAGCAAAGGAAAAGTTGACTTTGAAAACCGTGCTCTGGTCAGCAAAGATGCGGTTAAGTTGTTCGCGGAGGGAGGCAGGACTGATCGAAGACAGGCGGAAATTGTACCAGTCTTGTAAACGATTGTGGCGGCTAAAACGCGTACGGATCTGCGGCCAATGTTGCCAGTATGTTTGGGTGATGTTTTCTTCGCTAGCTGGATCAAGGTTGGCTGGAATGAGAATAGATCAGGTTGCCAGCTAGCAGCGCCGTTTTCAGCACTTGCTGTGGAAGCTGGTTCTGAAGCGGTACTCGTACTTGTTTGGTCCGATCTCTTAGGTCTTTTCGTGGACGGAGCATCTGTAGTTTTTTGAGCAGTGCGTTTTCTAGTTGCAGCGACGGGTTGTTGATGAGCGGTGCGAATATAAGCGTTGTAAGGGGCGCAGTTGTGGAAAGTTTCGCCACATGTACCACAAGTGAAAGTGCGTTGTAAGGCTCGTTTCTCGTGCGCTTTCAGGTGTCGGTTAAGAGCAGATTTGTCTGAAAACTTCTTATCACAGCGGGTGCATTCGTACGGTTTCTCCCCAGTATGCATATGTTCGAGAGTTATTAGATAATTGGGGCGAGTAAAGGTCTTACCGCAGGTGTCACAACGATGCTCTTTGCGAGGCTTTTTCGCTGGGAGTTCACCTTCCCCGGATTGAATTTCCTATAATTAGTAAATATGACCTAGTCTAAGTGTAAAGCTAAACTAACTCTGATAGACTCGATTTTTCTACAATGAACGTGATAACTCAACAATTGGTTAGTTGGTTTGTTTTTGATGTTGAATCAACAGAATAAATTTAATTTAATGTGTACTGATCCACAACACAACTGACTTTCAGAGATCATTATCGGGGGATACTATTATAATAACTGCTATAATGCTACATTCAACTGCTTAGTGGAAAAAACTTAAGTTGGTGTGATACCTGTTTGAGTATATAATACGCTGTCCATTTTCTTCAACTGGGCTTGATGACTGAATATTATAACATTGAGCGAATGCTTTGTGTTTATTTTGAACAGAAGAATAGGGCAATTTGTAATATGGGTGCAATCATCCGCAAAAACGAATTCACTTTGAGAGAAGATAATATTTGATCAGTGAAAAGCGGAATCGATAACTGAGAATAAACTATTTAAGCCTTCAAATAATAAATAACAAGCCAAATGTAACTTTTATATTCTTCTGACTCTCATAAACGATGGAATTAATGATATTGTCTTTTTGGTGAGCCTAAAGAATTTAATTTTCAAAAGGTATACATTTCAAAAACTTAAAATGGAACGTTCGTACTTCTTCATAGCGTATTCGGCGTATCAGTTCTATAAAACAAGTGAAAATGAAAGACCACTTACGGTTTTGGACGGGTTCCAAGTGGGTAATTCACTGGCTTCACCTTTCCACTGCAGGTAAATAAAAGATAACAACGTAAGATTTGGCGCACAATGAACACTGTATTTAATGAAAGCAAAATAATTCAATGATCATGAAATGAAAAACGTACTTCATCCAAGAAATTATCCTATGTATCTTGCGTTGATAACGGTGCCGACTCGTTATTCTAGATAAGAAGAGAAGAAATCAGATTACTTTAGGTTTTGAAATCTCGCTCATTTTAAGAAATAGGTGGGCATTGAACGGGTAAGCTAGCAGATTCGTATTGTTGTTTCATCACTAAACAAATCATTTACGTTGCGTATTAAAAAGGAAATGGACTTAACCTTACCTTGTCTAGCGCCATACGTTCCATCTCATTTACGACCTGTTTTTCTTCAGCTGTAAACTTGTAAAGCAAAGAAACATATTCGATGAGTATTATATTACAACTGTCTATAAAAAGTTGAAACAAATCGAGTTTGGAGTCCTTTTGTTTCTTTAACGAGGATAACAAAAGATACGCGATAGGTCAGATGCAAATCTAAACCAAGTCGAGTCTATTAACATAACGAACTTGAGCTAATGAAATTGTGCGTGAAGTTTGTAAAGTTCGTGAGATAACATATTCGAAAAACTTACCGAATCGCTCAGTAACTCGTCGGTTTCAAAACCTGCGTTAACACCCCCTAGCATCTAGAGTAAACGAGAGAGAACAATAAAGATCAATTTTCTATTTAAACTTAGAACCGACATAAAGTTCAGGCAAAATATACTTACAAATTTCTCGAGCTCATCAGCTTCGTTGACTTCATCATTACCCGTGTCATGATTGATTTCAATCTGCAGGAATAATTTAGTTTAGTCAGACTTTTAATCTTACACTTGCTTCTATTAACCGTAACGTTGAAACTAAAACAACAACAACAAAGAGATCAGCGAAGAACTAAGATGGAACAAATTACTTACTGGTATCTCTTGGGCTGTGAGTTCCGGCAGCCGAGCATGTGCCATTGGGAACCACTCTTCCGGAATCAAAATAGACTGGATCAAAAGTTCCAATTCTTGGATCGAGAAACAGCCAACCAAAAGAGCTTGAAATTCGCGGACATCCATAACAAAAGCCATGGTGATAAAAAGTGAATAACGTTTTCTCAAACAAGCGAGCTGGAATAAATTTTTTTTCCAAGCAAACTGACTTGCAGGAATAAAATGTTGAACGGAAGGTGCACTTTTATTTTGAAGACATAATAGATTCTACATGAGCCAATCAGGGTTAAAAGATCCCGGGCAAGTCTAGGCAAGTCTATTGTTTATATTGAAGTACAGAGTCGCTCATTAGTAAACCTATACCGAGTTAGTATGCAGGGAGACCCTCATTAGTATGGAGGAAAGCATTTTTACCTAAGTAGTAACAATGGGTGACGTCATGGACTCGACCCTTATGCATATTAATAAAGGGAAGGCAGGGGAAGACACCAACGGGGCTCATCTATGACCCTAGTATACTACTATCGATCCTGCTAAATCAATGGTGGATCCAGGGGAGGGACCCGGGGAGCCCGCCCCCTCCTCTTATCCTTAGACCAACAACAATAATCTTTATGTTGCCAACTCTTTATACATATAAAAAATATTCTTTCAGTTAGAAAACTTGCAAAGCCTCAAAAAGGGAAGTGATAAGCTGATAAATTACTGACTGAAGTTGTCTAGCTAACAAAAGTAATTAAGTTATCTAGTTAGCCCCTAGCTTAGTAAAGATAAATTTTAAAAATCAATGCTTTGACAAAATTCTTATACATTTCTTCTAAAAATACCTCTCTAATACGGACAACGGAAACAAAATCTCGACCGTTGGAAGCAAACAACACATACAAACTTTAACCTCTTTACTCTGGGGACCAGGTGTCAATAATTTTCGTTATGTACCATTTCCTGCTGGCGGTTACACAAACATATTGACAGGTTATCAGTGAGCGATACCAATAAATGAACATATCAAAATCTTAGTTTCCAAAACTTACAGTTATAATTGTAAATTACTTAGGCACAGAACTAGTAATAATTATTAATATTATTATTATTAGTTTCGTTTTGTTCCCAAAATTGGAATGAACAGCGTGTATCTGCTCGAGAAGTACAAAAACGTTAATCAATTGAGATTCAGAAATTAACAAGACACTGAATTTTGGGTTTGATTTTAGTTACTGAACACTCTAAGCCTGCCTAAGCCAAGCGACCACGAGACAAGCGAGAAGCGCAAGAGGGGGATGGTGGAAAGGAGCGTAGAGCGTCCCCGCTTTCCTTAACAATTAACTCAAATATCCCCCAAGGGTGATTGCGAGAGACTGGGTACGAGGCAGCACTCTCTAGGTGACCTCTCTAATAGGGGAGTTCCTTGCGCGCGCGAAGCGCACGCGAGCGGAACACCATAACTAAGATAATTTAATAAGCTATCCATCCGAGAAATTTTGGTTATGACGTCAACGTCCGTCCGTCCGTACGGACCTTCCGGGTAGTGGAAAGTAGTCCGCATGGACTCTTGGGGTAGGGGAAAGTACAGGTTTTTTGGCGGGAAATCGCATGGCGCAACGTCGCGCAGTTATATCGCGCAACTGGTTTTGAAAAAGAAGTTTCAAAGCAACTTAGCAAAAAGATTTTTCGACAGAGCCTTTATAACTTTTTATTACAACTTACGAAAGCTATTCTGTCAACAAACAACAGCAGAGAGATTTTAGCGTGTAGATGACAGGTTTTAAGCAGAGAGCAAAGAGAAGGTGAACGGCAGAGAGCAGGCGAAGACAATCGCCAAAGAGAGCGCGTTAGAAGAAGAAGAAGAAGAAGAAGAAGAAGAAGACAACATTTTAGCGAAGAAAGTCGGCAAGTAGAAAGAGTCAGGGCGAGAAGAAGGAAAGAAAATTATCGGGAAGAACGCCGGCAAGCAGAACGAGACAGAGCTAGAATGAATAGAAAAAGGCAATGCGAAAGAGAAATACAAAGGCAAAGAAAACGGCAGCAGAATAATGACATGATGACAGAAGGTGTTGTGTTAATAGAGACTTTACGAACCAGAACGCGACGCAGTTTGAAAACACCGAAACCGAGAAGTGCCCGGGGCGAGAAGGCCGTCACGAGCGCGGGAGAAACAAAGTTACGAATGCGAACGCGACGACAAAGGCAGAGCTGTGCAAATCCTTTAAACTCCGCTAAACACATTTTCGTTTTATAGCTGGTGTTATACATCATAAATGGCAACATTCAGAGAGGCAGGGGAAGCTTTATTGTTTGCCTATCAAGATGGAAGCATTGATGATACAGAGTTTGCCTGTTGTACGATTAAAATTCTTCTGAAAATCTCGAATTTCCTTATTGGAAGTATGGTCGCTTCGATCTTGATTCTATGACAGATGATGAGTGTAAGGCTGAGTTTCGGTTTTTCAAGAACGATATTTATTTACTCGGAGAAAATCTTAATATTCGCGACACAATGAAATGCCCCAATGGCGTTCTTGTGGACGGAACGGAGGCTTTGAGTGTTAGTTCGAATCACGGCAGACTCGAAGAATTTCAGCCAACTTTATTTTGAACGTCGAAAACGCACTACTTGCACAATGTAAATCTTGTATCAACTTGTAGATAACAATCGTACTCAAACGACAGCAAAGGAAGACATTGGGCGCAGACCTCGTGGTCAGTTCCTAGAAACTTGTATGTGGTTTTCTGGCAAATTACAGAGGTAAATATCACTCGAAGTTACCATAACAATTCTCAAATATAGAAAAAAAGGCTAACTTACCGAACTGTTCGGCCTCAAATGCTAATACAGGTAGAATATACTCAAATACTATCCTCGCCCACGATAGCAAACTCGACCAAAGCAAAAAAATGTTTTGAGTCACGTGACAATAAACAAACAAATTACTCCTAAGAGGAGTCGGGAGCGACATTGAGTGTGCTGTTGAAGCGTTTTGCATACCCGTGTCGATTTGCAGATATGGTTGCTCGATTCGGGAGACCAGTTCCACAACTTTACACGATTACAAACCGAATGATGGGCTATTTATTCGATGAATATAGCCACCTTCTCGCAGATTTAAATCAGCCATGGCTTTCCAGGGACCGTCCCCGTCATTTTGCTGCCACTATACATAATAAAGGAGCTCCACTCAAAAACTGTTGGGGTTTCATAGACGGAACAGTGGGAGCCATATGTAAGCCAGATGAAAACCAAAGAATTCTCTATAACGGACATGAAAAGGTGCATGAGATAAAGTTTCAGTCCGTAGTTGCACCAAATGGGTTTATTGCAAGTCTGTTTGGTCCAGTCAAGGGCAGGAGACACGATAGTGGTATGCTAGTCGACTCGGGACTTCTGCAAGAATTATCGCATTACCTGTTTGCACCGGACGGGGGGATGAAAGCCAATGAGGGTGAATGAAGGAAGATGAAGGAGAATGAAAGCTAATGGGAGTAAATGAAGGAAGATGAAGGAGGATGACAGCAAATGGGGGTAAATTAAGGAAGATGAAGGAGAATTAAATTAATCCAAATTTTCATTCAGTACCCTTGACTTGTATGGTTTACCCTATAGTTCCAGGAAGCCTATAGTTTATAAGCCCCCGGCTTCTGTATAGGCTTCCTTACCTTTACCACATTTGATCTTGTAAATAATTTAGTTGGAATATTGTATATTATCTTTAATATATTTCTGTATACTGTTGTTGTATTTCTGCTTAATGGCAAAATAAAAAGAATAAATAAATGAATAAAATGAAAGGTAATGAGGGTAAATGAAGGAAGATGAAGGAAAATGAAATATAATGAGGGTAGCTGAACAATTGTAATATATTCCGAACATAACATTGTTTTCTATATAGTGGATGCATATATGGTATTCTCACATGAAGAATATGCCAAAAAGTCGCTGCAAAAGTCGCAAGCAGGAGAAAAGTATCAGGTTTTCAGCATGTCACCTCAGAGCCACCGTAGGATCTGGAAAACGAAACGAACAAAACTCATCCTATAGCCTTCCTCTAGTTGGGAAGTCACATGGAGAAAACACGATCGCAACGCACTTCGCTTGGAACAAATAAGAACGCATTCTATTGGTTGATAGGTGAGAGGACCAAACTGCGACGGAGGACACAACTGCAACGCTACAGACTTTCGGTTTTCACCGCGCGAGAAATGAAGCGAGCGCCCAAATATGAAAGAGGGAGGAGAGGGAGGGGAAGGAAGGAAACGCTTGCAGACAAACTCCTCTATTTTGAAAACCTGCGTTCGCTAGCGAACGCAGCACCTGATTGGCTTGGCTAGTCCAACAATATTGACACGTGTCGATCAAAGGTTTGTTTCATACTGAGAGGTCATATATGGTACATAACACGCATATTTTTTCCTGTTGTTGTTGTTTATTCTGGTCGGAAAGATTTGCCCTCCAATGCAAGAGCATTTTCTTTAACTTGTTTTGAAAAAGCTCTTCTGGCGACTATATAAGGGTTTCAGGTCGTTTAATTTATTCTCTAAAGTGTCTCCTGGATCTGAATAACTAAAAGTGATTTTCTTTTGTCAGGGAAGACATGTGATAAAACATGGACTGGATTAATTAAACATGGATCAATAAGACATGGAGTGATAAAACATGGATTAATAAAACATGCAGCGATAAAACATGGATTAATAAAACATGGAGTGACATAACAAGGATTTATGACCAAGCAAAGAAAGGGTTTTTTCCTAGGTTTAATAGGATCTGAATATGACAAACATGACCTAAGTACAAAGATGTTCCAGTAGCTCCTGCTTTCTTTCACGCAATCTTTCCGGTCGGAAGTGAAATTAAATAGGGCCAGTTACATTTTATCTTACTTTTTCTCAAAAGGGTTACTTTTGTTTTCCAACAACAGATGTATTTCGTGTAAAATAGACAGTTTCATTAATTATTCAAACTGTCAAAATTGATGTTGTCTTTTGACTATTGCCGGCGAACTATCGCGGCTATAATATCAGGGTGCGATGGCCCCACGGAGCGGATATCTACATTAATTTTGTAGATCATCGCATTCAGCCGATAGCGCAGAAACAAGACTCGTATCTAAAAGATACGACAGACTTACTGAATTTTATTGAGAGTACAAAATTGGCTAAGAATATAGTCCTAGTCTCTATGGACGTTAGTAGTCTCTACACCAACATACCACACGAAGAGGGCGTAACCACCGTATGTCACGCATACGCAGTTTTTTATAGGGACAAAGCCCCCTATACCCACCAAGTACCTAAGAGAAATGTTCTACCTTATATTAACAGAAAACTCGTTCCAATTTTGCGGTAGCAACTACCTACAAACTCATGGAGCAACCATGGGGACAAAGACGGCCGTTGCTTTTGCAAACATCCTCATGGCCAGAATAGAAAAACAAATACACTCTTTTTTTATAAGAATGTTGTTTTTCCGGCCCAGGCTGAATATTCTTATTTTTCTGCCGATTTCAGGCTGAAAATATTCTTGCATTATTCTTAAATTATAGCTTATGACATGTCCGTTTTAGAATTTATTGGGGTATCAATTACAAGTGTTTGGTATCTAGATCTGTTTCGCGTTATATTGTGCCCGTGCTCCATCGCTTTTCGTTGTAGTCAGCGAGGTCAAGATGTCACGTCAAACGACACTTGGCCGTTTTGGCTTTAAAAAAAGCATTTCCCACAGAAATAGAGTGATGGAAACGAAAGTACCCGATTTTTTTTCAACTATGTCAAGGACAATTAAGTGTAATCACTGCAGTAAACTCTTTGTTAACCAGCAAGGGTCGTCTGTACATGAGAAATGTGTGCATGGTGTATTTACAGATGTTTCAACACACAAAATTATATCTGTCCTTTTTAAAATCTCAGCCTCGGCTTTATTCTTAAAATATTCTTAAAATTTCGCAAATTTCAGCCTCGATATTCTTATGAAATATATTCTTATAAAAAAAAAAGTGTACTAAGTCAGAGTTGCATCAAACCGCTTTTTTGGAAAAGGTATATTGACGATGTGTTTTCGTTATGGGACACAAGTCTAGACAAAATAGAGAGCTTTGTGGAAAAGACAAATAACTTTCACTGTAAGATAAAATTCACGGCTTAGATGTCAAAAACTGAGAGATCACGTTCTTGGACACAAAAGTGTACAAAAGGGTTGAATTCGACAAGGAATCAACCCTAGACGTGCAAACACATTACAAACTAACAGAAACCTTCCAGTACACGAACTTCTATTCGTGTGACCTACCAGGGGTGAAAAAAGACTTCATTAAAGGAGAAGCCCTCAGGCTCCTAAGGACTAATTCCTCGCAGATCACATCTGAGAGCAAAACCGCCTGTTAGAAAGAAGCTACACTGCCGATACTTTAAGAAAGTACCTCTCTGAGGTAAAATTTGCGACAGGAAAACAGCCCTACAACAGAGAAACAAATCCGCACGCAAAAAACTTCTACCTTTTGTTACACAATACCACCTGGCCTTACCTAGCCTGAAGAGAATACGTATAAGGAAATGGCACCTTATACAAAACCAGCAACGAAGAGAAAAGAGAAAACTTTAAGGAGCCTCAGCTCCCCTCATATTTTATCGCAAGGGAAAATCTCCGTTAAGGACCTACTAGTTAGAGCGAAGCTCTGAAGGCCATATAACTTCCAATACGACTAAGTCAGGGGCACCCAGCGAGAATATAGTTCAAAACCACTTAAACAGCATTTTTATACGTATTTTAGTATTTAAACGGTAGATATAGGCATATTTTTATCCCCTAAAAATTTTTCATCTGTTCGGATTTCCTGGCTGGAAGTCTAGTGATCCGAAAATTATAGGGATCAAAACTTACATTTTCGAAAATTTCAGCCAGAAAAAAGGCTCCCGAAAATTCTAGGCGACCTTTTTAGGTTAAAAATCCGTTAAAAGTGGGCAACTATACCATTTTTTAGATGTTCGAAAATCCTAGGAGAGGCAGGCAAGCAAGAAATTTTACAACAAATGTTCCGAAAATTCTAGATCTCAAATCGTCCTCCGAACAGATATTTTCAGAAAATTGTCGTTGGGTGCCCCCGACAAAGTGCAGGAGTCGTGTGATGCCCATCGCTTATTCTTAACCATGTTTTATCACTCCATGTTTTATTAATCCATGCTTTATTATTCCAGTCCAAGTTTTACCAATCCAATCCAATCCATGTTTTATCACATGCCGTCAGGGAACGCGATGGTTTCCTGCAATGTTTTGTCATGCTGGGCCCAGCTCGTTAGTGTTTTTTTTTCGGGATGTTAAATTCTCTCGGATAGTGATTTATAGATCCAAATTTCAAAGACTGGATTGCACCTTAAACTGAAGTTACATCAACTATGGAGAACTGCACTGTGACTCAGTCAAAATTGCTGATTGGTTCTCCACGCGAACTTCACTAGTTGCCGGGTTAACTTTGTACTTCTTGGATGCTTTTACAAAAAGACTCTAGTTGTCTGTGCCGTGGCGAGAACGGTAAGCCGTTCTGTCTAGCTAAGCTTTGACCTTGTACCAATACGCGTCGCGGATCGAAAATACTAGACTTGAATGCATGTCACATTTTACCACTTCAAATCCAACTTTTTGGAGGTTTTGAGCTAAAACTTCAAAACTTCACCCCTGCGGTCCTTCCTTTTAGATGGATTAAAAAGACAAATGCCCAAAGCGCGCGTTGATCGTTGGGATTGATTGAGATAGCAGCATTAACGCCCTTCACGCGTTCCAAAATCCAAAAAAAAATTTTCGTTTCACAAACGCGTTCTCTAAAGTTCATTTCCGGTCCACGGAAGGGCAAACATTTTATTAGTCAATTATGACAGCTGGTGGCAGCACCAAATGTCGGTGCGNTCCAATCCATGTTTTATCACATGCCGTCAGGGAACGCGATGGTTTCCTGCAATGTTTTGTCATGCTGGGCCCAGCTCGTTAGTGTTTTTTTTTCGGGATGTTAAATTCTCTCGGATAGTGATTTATAGATCCAAATTTCAAAGACTGGATTGCACCTTAAACTGAAGTTACATCAACTATGGAGAACTGCACTGTGACTCAGTCAAAATTGCTGATTGGTTCTCCACGCGAACTTCACTAGTTGCCGGGTTAACTTTGTACTTCTTGGATGCTTTTACAAAAAGACTCTAGTTGTCTGTGCCGTGGCGAGAACGGTAAGCCGTTCTGTCTAGCTAAGCTTTGACCTTGTACCAATACGCGTCGCGGATCGAAAATACTAGACTTGAATGCATGTCACATTTTACCACTTCAAATCCAACTTTTTGGAGGTTTTGAGCTAAAACTTCAAAACTTCACCCCTGCGGTCCTTCCTTTTAGATGGATTAAAAAGACAAATGTCCAAAGCGCGCGTTGATCGTTGGGATTGATTGAGATAGCACCATTAACGCCCTTCACGCGTTCCAAAATCCAAAAAAAAATTTTCGTTTCACAAACGCGTTCTCTAAAGTTCATTTCCGGTCCACGGAAGGGCAAACATTTTATTAGTCAATTATGACAGCTGGTGGCAGCACCAAATGTCGGTGCGCGAACTCAGGCATGACAGGCCAAGTGAGCGGTTTTCAAAAACCCGAGGTTTGTCTGCAAGCGTTTCCTTCCTCTCTTCCTCACCCCCTCCCCGCTCTTTTACCTGCGACATTTTTCGCGCGGTCTTTGACTCTCGTCCCTCGTTCTTTGTTACTAAACCGCACAGAAACGCTTGCTACGCAGGCTACCGGTTACAAGACAGCCACCTTTTACAGCGCTGTAACTTCACCGCCATATGATATTGGTGTCCCCCCGTGGATTCGTGCACCTCCTTACAACAAACCCAGTGTTCAACGTTGGTGTTGCTACTGTCAAAAGAGCGGAGGACATCTTGCGAGATTGAATTTCTGTCAGGGAACTTGTGTAAATCCGCCTGACTATAGGTGATTAAATACACTTGTCGAACAGCTCTCACATTTAGAACACTCGTCAAAGCACCCTTGTCGCTAGCTTTAACGTCAATGTTTAAGCTGTTAAAAATATCTGTAGCTTCCGAATCACTCCTTTCACATTCTTGGAGAAAATCCACTGCAAATCACTTTAGCAGCAAGGAACTAACCGCGTAAACCGCGAGCCGCGCAAATATCGATGTTGTAGTCTATGCAGTGTAACTTTCAAATCACCTCAGTGTGATTACGCCTAGTGGTGTGAAATATGACTAACTTGAAATAATTCCTACAAATTAGGAAATGTTCGAAACTACCGTCGATAACGTTTGATTTCCAAAACTAATTATCGTGCATCAGTCTCTCTCCTTTGATTGGCAGGTGATCGCAACCCACTGTTCCCCTTATGTACCTTTCTAACAAGTGAGTAGAGGCAAGATTTTGGCTGACTTCAAGTATTTTAGATTTCCAAAATCTTGAATTCAAGAGTTTGGCTAACTTCAAGATTTTAGCTTTCCAAAATCCTGATTTCAAGATCTTAGCTTTTTAAAATCTTAAATTCAAGATTTTCCCTCAGTTCAAAATTTTAGCTTTCAAAAATATTGAATTCAAGATTTTGGCTCACTTTTAGCTTTCCAAAATCTTGAATTCAAGATATTGCCTGACCTCATGATTTTTCCTGATTTCAAGATTTTATCTTTGCAAAATCTGGAATACTATATTTAAGCCTTCCAAAATCCTGAATTCAAGATTTTGGCTCACTTCAAGATTTTAGCTTTTCAAAATCTGGAGTTTAAGATTTTGGCTGACTTCACGATTTTAGCTTTATTAAATCCTAAATTCAAGATTTTCGCTGAATTAAAGATTTTAACTGACTTTAAGATTTAAGCTTTCCAAAATCCTGAATTCAAGATTTTGGTTTTTCCTCTAGATTTTAGCTTTTTAAAGTCTTCAATTCAAGATTTTGGCTGATTTCAAGATTTTAGCTTTCCAAAATCTTGAATTAAAGATTTTGGCTGACTACAAAATTTTAGCTTTATTAATATCTTGAAATCGGCCAAAATCTTGAATTCAGGATTTTTGAAAACTAACATCTTGAAATCGGCCAAAATCTTGAATTCAGGATTTTGGAAAGCTAAGATCTTGAAATCGGACAAAATCTTGATATCAGGATTTTCGAAAGCTAAAATCTTGAAGTCGTCAAAAATCTTGAATTCAGGATTTTAGAATGCCAAAATCTTGAAATCGGCAAAAATCTTGAAATGTGCCAAAATCTTGAATTCAGGATTTTGGAAAGCTAAGATCTTGAAATCGTCCAAAATCTTGAATTCAGGATTTTGGAAAGCTTAAATCTTGATATCGGTCAAAATCTTGAAATCGGCCAAAACCTTGAATTGACGATTTTTGAAAACTAAAATCTTGAATTGAGGATTTTGGAAAACTAACATCTTAAAATCTGACAAAATCTTGAATTCTGGATCTTGGAAAGCTAAAATCTTTAAATCGGCCAAATTCTTGAATTCAGGATTTTGGAAAGCTAAAATATTAAAATCGGCCAAAATCTTGAATTCAGGATTTGAAAGCTAAAATCTTGAAATCGTCCAAAATCTTGAATTCAGGTTTTAGACGGCTAAAATCTTGAAATCGGCCAGAATCGTGAACTTAGGATTTTAGAAAGCTAAATCCTCAAATCGGTCAAGATCTTGAGTTGAGGATTTTAAAAGACTAAAATCTTGAAATCGGCCTATATCTTAAATCAGGATTTTGGAAAGCTAAAATCTTGAAATCGGCCAAAATCTTGAATTCGGGATTTGGGGAAAGCAAAAATCTTGATATCGGTCAAACTCTTGAATTCAGAGTTTAGGAAAGCTAAAATCTTGAAATCGGCCGAAATCTTGACTTCTGGATTTTGGTAAGCTAAAATTTAGAAATCAGCCAGAATCTTGAATTCAGGATTTTAAAAAGCTAAAATTGTGAAATAAGCGAAAATCTTGAAATCAGCGAAAATCGGGAATTCAGGTTTTTGGAAAGCTAAAATCTTAAAATAGGCCAAAATCCTGAATTCATGAATTTGGAAAGCTAAAATCTTGAAATCGGCCAAAATCTTGAATTCATGATTGTGGAAAGCTAAAATCTAATTACCGGCCAAAATCTTGAATTCAGGATTTTGGAAAGCTAAAATATTGAAATGGGTGAAAATCTTAAATTAAGGATTTTGGAAAGCTAACATTTTGAAATCGGCCAAAATCTTGAATTCAGGATTTTGGAAAGCTAAAATCTTGAAATCGTTCAAAATCTAGAAATCGCCCAAAACCTTGAATTCACGATTTTGGAAAGCTAAAATCTTGAAATCGGCCAAAATCTTGAATTCAGGAGTTTGGAAAGCTAAGATCTTCAAATCGGCCAAAATCTTGAATTCAGGATTTTTGAAAACTAAAATCTTGAAATCGGCAAAAATCTTGAATTAAGGATTTTGGAAAGCTGAGATCTTGAAATCGGCCAAAATCCTGACATCAGGATTTTCGAAAGCTAAAACCTTAAAGTCGTCCAACATCTTGAATTCAGGATTTTGGAAAGGCAAAATCTTGAAATCGGCCAAAAAATCTTTATTTTAGGATTCTGGAAAGCTAAAATCTTAAAATGGGCCAAAATCTTCAATTCAGGATTTTAGAAAGCTAAGATCTTGAAATCGTCCAAAATCTTGAATTCAGGATTTTGGAAAGCTTAAATCTTGATATCGGTCAAAATCTTGAAATCGGACAAAATCTTGAATTCTGGGTTTTGGAAAGCTAAAATCTTTAAATCGGCCAAAGTCTTGAATTCTTGATTTATTAAAGCTAAAATCTTGAAATCTGCAAAAATCTGGAATTCAGAATTTTTGAAAACTAAAATATTGAAATCGGCCAAAATCTTGAATTCCGGATTTTAAAAAGCTAAGATCTTGAAATCGGCCAAAATCTTGAATTAGGGTTTTTTTAATGCTAAAATCTTGAAATCGGCCAAAATCTTCAATTCAGGAAACTGGAAAGCTAAAATCTTGAAATCGGCCAAAATAGTGAATTCAGGATTTTGGAAAGATAAAATCTTGAAATCGGGCAAAATCTTGAATTCAGGATTTTGGAAAGCCAAAATCTTGAAATCGGTTAAAGTCATGAGGTCGGCCAAAATCTGTAATTCAGGAATTTGGAAGGCTAAAATCTTGAAACCGGCCAAAATCTTGAATTAAGGATTTTGGAAAGTTAACTCTTAAAATTGGCCAAAAATCTTGAATTCAGGATTTTGGAAAGCTAAAATCTTGAAACCGGCCAAAATCTTGAATTCAGCAGTTTGGAAACCTAAAATCTTGAAATCGGCCAAAATCTTGAAATCAGGATTTTGGAAAGCTAAAATCTTAAAATCGGCGAGAATGTTGAATTTAGGATTTTTGAAGGGTAAAATCTTAAAATAAGCCAGAATCGTAAATTCAGGATGTTGGAAACCTAAAATCTTAAAATCGGCCAAAAAATCTTCAATTTAGTATTTTGGAAAGTAAAAATCTTCAAATCGGCAAAGATCATCAATTCAGGATTATGGAAGCTAAAATCTTAAAATTGGTCAAAATCTTGAATTGAGGATTTTGGAGAGCTAAAATCTTATAATCCGCCAAAATCTTGAATTCAGGATTTTGAAAAACTAAAATCTTGAAATCGGCAAAAATCTTGAATTCAGGATTTTGGAAACGTAAAATCTTGAAATTGTCCGAAATCTTGTATTCAGGATTTTGGAAAGCAAAGATGTTGAAATCGGTCGAAATCTTGAATTCAGGATTTTGGAAAACTAAAACCTTGAAATCGGCCAAAATCTGGAATTCAGGATTTTGGAAAGCTAAAATGTTGAAATCCGCCCAAAATCTTGAATTCAGGATTTTGGAAATCTAAAAGCTTGAAATCCGTCAAAATCTTTAATTTAGGATTTTGGAAAGCTAAAATCTTGAAATAGGCCAAAATGTTGAATTCAGGATTTTTGTAAACTGAAATCTTGATATCAATTTAAATCTTGAATTAAGGATTTTGGAAAGCTAAAATCTTGAATTCAGGATTTTGGAGGCTAAAATCTTGAAATCGGCCAAAATCTTGATTTCAGGATTTTGGAAAGCTAAAATCTTCACATGAGCCAAAATTTTGAATTCAGAAAGGTTGATAGCTGAAATCTTAAAATCGGCCAAAATCTTGAATTCAGGATTTTGGAATGCTAAAATCTTGAAATCGGCCAAAATATTGATTTCAGGGTTTTGAAAAGCTAAAATCTTGAATTCTGGATTTTGGAAAGCTAAAATCTTGAAATAGGGCAAAATCTAGAATTCAGGATTTTCGAAAGCTAAAATCTTAAAATCGGCCAAAATCTTGAATTCAGATATTCTAGATAGCTAAAATCTTAAAATCGGCCAAAATCTTGAATTTAGGATTTTGGAATGCTAAAATCTTGAAATAGGGCAGAATCTAGAATTCAGGATTTTCGAAAGCTAAAATCTTGAAATCGGCCAAAATCTTGAATTCAGGATTTTGGAAAGCTGAAATCTTTAAAGCGACCAAAATCTTGAATTCAGCCTTTGAAAGCTAAAATTTTGAAATTGGCCTAAATCTTGAATGCAGGATTTTTTTTTATTTGACCTGTGGCAGTTATTGCGATACAGCTACAGATTACGAGTTACACGAGAACATTAATACGCTTGGATAAATTAACACTCTCTATTCTTTACAAGTATGCCTCCACGAAGTAAGCGTCCGAGACGTTCTGGTCCTTCTGCCTCTACAGTAAACAGCATGGCAACCAGTACCGCTAGCACGTGGAGCAGCTTGTTGAATTGACGATTTTTGAAAACTAAAATCTTGAATTGAGGATTTTGGAAAACTAACATCTTAAAATCTGACAAAATCTTGAATTCTGGATCTTGGAAAGCTAAAATCTTTAAATCGGCCAAATTCTTGAATTTAGGATTTTGGAAAGCTAAAATCTTGAAATCGGCCAGAATCGTGAACTTAGGATTTTAGAAAGCTAAATCCTCAAATCGGTCAAGATCTTGAGTTGAGGATTTTAAAAGACTAAAATCTTGTTATCGGCCTATATCTTGAATCAGGATTTTGGAAAGCTAAAATCTTGAAATCGGCCAAAATCTTGAATTCAGGATTTTGGAAAGGTAAAATATTAAAATCGGCCACAATCTTGAATTTAGCAGTTTGGAAAGCTAAAATCTTGAAATCGGTTAAAATCTTGAATTTAGGATTTTAGAAAGCTAAAATCTTGAAATCGGCAAAATCTTGAATTCAGGATTTTGGAAAGCTAAAATCTTCTAATCGGCCAAAATCTAGAATTCAGGATCTTGGAAAGCTAATAGGGACCTTAAGCATCGACAACGAAACGGACGACGACGAGGCTTCGCAACCGAGGCAGACTGGGCCAAGGGTTTCGTTTTCGGCGGGGAAAACGACGTTTAAGCAGTGCAGCTTCCCAGACGGACGACGACTTTTTCTTTGCGAAGAACTTTGTCTTGTTACAGTCTTGTTAGGGCATTCAAAGACGTCCGTAATTTACATTTGATAAGGTATGAAGATGGTTTTATCGACGATGGCGAATTCATTGTTCCTTAGGACCTGGATTATTTGATTGTGGAGGCTTTCTCTTCGTCGCGCGGCTTTTGTTTTTGTTTTGAAATTGAGTTAAACCTGTATACCGATCTCGAACAGCTCTTGACTTGCAGTTAAGCTAAATTTCGGCTGTTGAAGAGAATTCAGTGCTGCTACAATGTTCTCCCATATTTATCCTCTCTCATGGCTCCTCATAACCACATCATGTTCCAGCTGAGTCCAGTGGAAATAGTTGCCTTTAATAGCGGCTAAAACAACATGGGAAATTATTAAATCTTAGTACGAAAAAATGAACATTTATCCTATAGTATACAACCTAGAATGCACGAGTAAACATAGGACCGTAAAGGAACGAACAGCAGCTAATCTAAAAGGCTCGGAAGATAGCAGAGGAAAGCTTACTTGTCTGTCCGACTTCTTGTTCCGCCATCACTCAGGTTTTCAAACAAACCGAACCTGAAAAATAAATTCAAGTTAGCAGGCGAAGAAACCGACAAAGTGTTTAACATTTGGATTCTGCTAATCCACAAAGAATATATTTCTACTTGTACTGAATGACAAGGGGGGAAAGAGTGATTTACACGCAAAAAGTATAGTTTTATACTTACGTTTTAGCGACGACGGCAAACCTCCCTGAATTACGTCGTCGACGAAGGCTGGACGACGTTTTGACAACCTTACGCATGCCCAAAAGGTTCGCGCGCAAAAATTTCACTTCCGGTCGGCGTCGTCGTCCCATTTCGTCGTCGATGCTTAAGGTCCCTAATATCTTGAAATCGTCCGAATTCTTGTATTCAGGATTATGAAAAGCTAAGATCTTGAAATCGGTCAAAATCTTGAATTCGAGATTTTGGAAAGCTAAAATGTTGAAATCTGCCAGAACCGTGAACTTAGGTTTTTAAAAAGCTAACATCTTGAAATCGGTCAAGATGTTAAATTGAGGATTTTAAAAAACTAAAATCCTTAAATCGGGCAAAATCTTGAATTCAGGATTTCGGAAAGCTTAAATCTTGAAATCGGCCAGAATCGTGAATTCAGGATTTTGGAAAGCTAAAATCTCAAAATCGGCCAAAATCTTGAATTCAGGATTTTGGAAAGCTAAAATCTTGAAATCGGTCAAACTCTTGAATTCAGAATTTAGGAAAGCTAAAATCTTGAAATCGGCCAAAATCTTGAATTCAGGATTTTGGAAAGCTAAAACCTTAAAATTGTCCGAGACCTTCTATTTAGGATTTTGGAAAGCTAAGATCTTGAAATCGGTCGAAATCTTAAATTCAGGATTTTGGAGAGCTAAAATTTTGAAATTGGCCAGAATCGTGAACTTAGGATTGTGGAAAGCTAAAATCTTGTAATAGGTCAAGATCTTAAATTGAGGATTTTAAAAAACTAAAATCTTCAGATCGGGGAAAATCTTGAATTCAGGATTTTAGAAAACTAAAATCATCAAATCGGTCAAAATCTTAAATTCAGGATTTTGGAAAGCTAAAATCTTCAAATCTGCCAAACTCTTGAATTCAGAAATTAGCAAAGCTAAAATCTTGAAATTGGTTAAAATCTTAAATTCAGGATTTTGGAAAGCAAAAATCTAGAAATCGGCAGAAATCTTGAATACAGCAGTTTGGAAACCTAAAATCTTGAAATCGGCCAAAATCTTGAAATCAGGATTTTGGAAAGCTAAAATCTTAAAATCAGCCTGAATTGTAAATTCAGGATTTTCGAAACCTGAAATCTTACAATCCGCCAAAATCTTCAATTCAGTATTTTGGAAAGGGAAAATCTTCAAATCGGAAAAAATCTTAAATTGAGGATTATGGAAAGTTAAAATCTTAAAATTCGTCAAAATCTTGAATTGAGGATTCTGGAAAGCTAAAATATTGAAATGGGCAAAAATCTTGAAATCGGCCAAAACCTTGAATTGAGGATTTTGGAAAGCTAAAATATTGAAATCGGCCAGAATCTTCAATTCAGGATTTTGGAAAGCTAAAATCTTGAAATCGTCGGAAATCTTGAATTTAGGATTTTAGACAGCTAAAATCTTGAAATCGGCCAAACTCTTGAATTCAGAATTTAGGAAAGCTAAGATCTTGAAATCGGCCAAAATCTTGACTTCAGGATTTTGGAAACCTAAAATCTCGAAATAAGCCAAAATCTTGAAATCGGCCAACATCGTGAATTCAGGATTTTGCAAAGCTGAAATCTTGAAATCGGAGAAAATCTTGAATTCATGAATTTGGAAAGCTAAAATCTTGAAATCGGCCAAAATCTCGAATTCAGGATTTTGGAAAGACAAAATCTTGAATTCAGGATTGTGCAAAGCTAAAATCTAATAAGCGGCCAAAATCTTAAATTCAGGATTTTAAAAAGCTAAGATTTTGAAATGGGCAAAAAACTTGAATTCAGGATTTTGGAAAGCTAAAATCTTTAAATCGGCAAAAGTCTTGAATTCACGATTTTGGAATGCTAAAATCTTGATGTCGTCCAAAATCTTGAATTCAGGATTTTGGAAAACTTAAATCTTGATATCGGTCCAAATCTTGAAATCGGGCAAAACCGTGAATTCACGTTTTTGGAAAACTAAAATCGTTAAATCGGGCAAAATCATGAATTCAGGATTTTGGAAAGCTAAGAACTTGAAATCGGCCAAAATCTGGAATTTAGGATTTTGAAAACTAAAATATCGAAATCGGCGAAAATCTTGAATTCAGGATTTTGGAAAGCTAAAATCTTGAAATCAGCCAAAATCTTCAATTCACGATTTTGGAAAGCTAAAATTTTGAAATGGGCCAAAATCTCGAATTCAGGATTTTGGAAAGCCAAGATCTTGAAATCAGCCAAAAACTTGAATTCAGGATTTTGGAAAGCTAAAATCTTGAAATCGGCCAAACTCTTCAATTTAGGATTCTGGAGAGCTAAAATCTTGAAATGGGCCAAAATCTTGAATTGAGGATTTTGGAAAGTTAACTCTAAAAATTGGCCAAAATCTTGAATTCAGGATTTTGCAAAGCTAAAATCTTAAAATCGGCAAAAATCTTGAATTCAGGAATTTGGAAACGTAAAATCTTGAAAGCGGTCAAACCCTTGAATTCAGAATTTAAGAAAGCTCCAATCTTGAAATCGGCCAAAATCTTGAATTCAGGATTTTGGAAAGCTAAAATCTTGAAATCGGCCTGAATCTTGAATTCAGGATTTTGGAAGGATAAAATCTTAAAATCCGCCAGCACCGTGAATTCAGGATTTTGGAAAGCTATTAAATTGAATTCAGGATTTTGGAAAGCTAAAATCTTGAATTCGGCCAAAATCTTGAATTCAGGATTTTGGAAAGGTAAAATCTTGAAATCAGCCCAAATCTTGATTTCTGTTTTTTGGAAAGCTAAAATCTTAAAATAGGGCAAAATCTTGAAGTTAGGAGTTTCGAAAGCTATGATCTTGAAATCGGCAAAAATGTTGAATTCAGGATTTCGCAAAGCTAAAATCAATGAAATCGGCCGAAATCAGGATTTTGGAAAGCTAAAATCCTGGAAAGCAACGAAAATCTTGAATTGAGGATTTTGAAAAGGTAAAATCTTGAAATCGGTAAAAATCTTTAATTCAGGATTTTCGAAAGGTAAAATCTTGAAATAGGGCAAAATCTTGAAAGCAGGATTTTTGAAAGCTAAAATCTTGATATCGGCCAAAATCTTGATGTCAGGATTTTGGAAAGCTCAGATCTTCAAATCGGCCAAAATCTTGAAGTCAGGTTTTTGGGAAGGTAAAATCTTCAAATCGGCCAAAATCTTGATTTCAGGATATTGGAAAAATAAAATCTTGAAATCGGGCAAAATCTTGAATTCAGGATTTTGGAAAGCTAATTCTTGAAATCGGCTTAAATCTTGAATTTAGGATTTTAGAAAGGTAAAATCTTCAAATTGGTAAAGATCTTCAATTCAGGATTTTGGAAAGCTAAAATCTTGAAATCAGGATTTTCGAAAGCAAAAATCGTAAAATCGAAAAAATCTTCAATTCAGCATTTTGGAAAGCTAAAATTTTAAAAACGGTCGAAATCTGGAATTGTCAATTTTCGAAAGCTAAAATCTCAAAATCGGCCAAAATCTTGAATTCAGGGTTTTGGAAAGCTAAAATCTTGAAATCGGCCAAAATCTTGATTTCAGGATCTTGCAAAGCTAAAATCTTCAAATGAGCCAAAATTTTGAATTCAGTATTTTGCAAAGCTAAAATCCTTGAAATCGGCCGAAATCAGGATTTTGGAAAGCTAAAATCCTTGAAAGCAACGAAAATCTTGAATTCAGGATTTTGGAAAGGTAAAATCTTAAAATCGGCCAAAATATTAAACTCAGGAGTTTCGAAAGCTAAAATCTTGAAATCGGACAAAATCTTGAATTCAGGATTTTGGAAAGCTAAAATCTTCA